ACTCTAATTACATACAGATAGTTTTTTTAAACGATGTCCTTGTGATCAACTATTTAAATATGAGTATGCGTCCTAGGTGGTGGGCGGCCGCAGTAACCGAGTGGTTAGCATTGCAGACTGCCTGTTTCGAGATCTGCTCACAGTACCAGGCACTCGAAAAAACGGCCCTAAGACAGCCTGAAGTAGAATAGCGATTTAATTGAGCAGACATCGCAATTGGGGCTACATTCAAGAGCTCTAAGATGGACGTGTTAGATTCTACGGCGTGTAAGTCACCAATACTCTTTAAAATTACTGTTAGCTAAGGAAAGTCAAGACTTCTAAATAATGCAGACTTTCTGTATTTCGCCGGTCAGCAAACACCAATTCTATACATTTGCCATAGATCACACGAGCGAGAAGAAAGAAGAATTTGTATATCAATGTAGAAAAGAATAGAGCTTATCAATTTAAGCACCGTTATTATTATTATTTTTTTTTTTTTTTTTTTTAAGTACAGACATAATTCTTAAAGTCTCGCTCCTCTTTCACTTCGCCCTCCATTGATTAGTCGAAATGTCGAAATGTTCTTAGTAGTAAATATTGTATGTGATCGTTATTTAATAGAAGTATATACACGTACATATGCTCGCGTACGAGACTAACTGATAGCGGTTGCTGACGGTGATCTCTGCTGACCTGCTACTAACAATGTTATGAGGGAGACTACAATGTTGCTTGGGAATAATGGCATCAATAATACAACAACTGACTACTGTTTTCAAAAACGTATTAAAATTATTTCTACTAATGCATGCATACGAGTATATACATACATATGTACGTACATAAGAATGTTTTTTCGTCTGTGCATAGGCGAGTTGGAACGTTGGAAAGAATATTCGTTGTTACTTACTTACGCTTTTTTCTGCTACGAAAGTACAAAAAGCAAAAAAAAAAAAAACAACAACGAACACCGGACACTATTAATATTTAGAAGTTAACCTCTTTGGCCTTTAACGACAAAGAAAACACAATTTTAATACAAAATATCGGCATAAGCCGTACCAGCGAAAAAGGTGATATTTGAATGCATACAAACGTATATACATACATATGTGTAGGTAAGTACAATCACAATTTGGATGGGTGATAAAAAGTAAAGTGAAATAAAATAAAGTGAACTAAATTTAAATAGGATCAAACCTGAAAACTAATACAATAACAAAGTAATAGTAAATGAAAAAAAATTAAATAAAATTAAATGAAGAAAGATATATAAAAGTATTAATAACTAAATTAATAAAAAATGAAACTTAAATAAAAGTAAATAAAAATTCTATGGAATGACAGAAGAAATAAAATTAATAAACAAAAAAAAAATTAAATAACAAAAATGAAAAGAAGCTTAAAATATTAAAAATAAAACAAAAAGTTTAAATAAAAAAATAAAACAAAAACTAAATAACAAAAATTAAAAATTAAAAAAAAAAATTAAATAACAAAAATTAAAAGAAATTTAAAATATTAAAAATAAAACAAAAAGTTTAAATAAAAAAATAAAACAAAAACTACAAAACAAAAATTAATAATTAAATAAGAAAATTAAAAAAGTTCAAAAAATTAAAAATAAAACAAAAAGTTTAAATAAAAAAATAAAACAAAAACTAAATAACAAAAATTAAAAATTAAAAAAATAAATAAAACAAAAACTAAATAACAAAAATGAATAATTAAATAAGAAAAATTAAAAAAAGTTCAAAATATTAAAAATAAAACAAAAAGTTTAAATAAAAAAATAAAACAAAAACTAAATAACAAAAAATTAAAAATTAAAAAAAAATTAAATAACAAAAATTAAAAGAAATTTAAAATATTAAAAATAAAACAAAAAACTAAGGTTAAAATAAAAAATAAAAAAAATATATATATTTATTTTTATAAAACTATTGTAAAATAAATTATAAAGAATAAATAAAATTAATTAAAATAACGTAAAATAAAAAAAACTAGACATAAAAGGCAGGAAAATATATCTACATATATAAAGAAAATTAAAATAATATAATAATAAACTTAGTTTAGACAAAATAAATAAATTAGATAAAATAAAAATAAAATAAAAACGAGGTAAATTAAGACGAAAGTTCAAGATGAAATAATATCATTTAAATAGAATAAAAATGTTAATTAAAAAATTATTTAAGAAAAGATAAAATAAAATAAATTAAAAAATTCAATTGAAATTGAAAACAAAATAATGTACATAAATAAAGTAACAAAAAAGAAGCCAAAACAAATAAAATAAAATAATATTATCTAAATATAAAAATATAACGAAAAATAAAAATAAGATAAAATAAAATACAGTGGAAAAATAAAATAAGTAAATGAGGTAAGATGGGCAGTAAAACGGAGTTCAAGAATTCATCCAGCAAATACTCGCCGCTTGGTAGCTAGCTGAAGTTAAAGAAGGTGAATCCTTGTCAAGAGAGAACTTTTGAAAATTAAAAAAAAATTCCCTTTAAATTCTACTATTGAAATTTCCCTCAATAGCGTTCAGTTTGTTTGTTATATTGTTCGACTAAAATTATTAAGATATACATATATACAAACCTTATCATTAATTTGGGTCAAAACACATTTATTTATATATATTATATATATTATATTTATTATATATTATTATTTGTAATTAAAAAAAAAATTCAATACGCAACTCATACAATTTTACAAATTAAAAAATGTAATTTTTTAAATAGAATTTGTGTCAGTTTACTATAGCACATGGACTTTTTAGGGTTTGTATTTACATACATACATATGTACAATTTAGTCTACTTGCTATGCATATTCATAATAAATATATCACCATTGAGAGCTCTCTAAATCGGTTAGTTATATCAGCATATAACCATACAGAGTAATGATCATACATATGTACATATGTACATCTGTACATATATATGTACGTGCATATGTAAATATGTTTTTATGTACATATACATACGTATGTATGTATGTATGTATATATGTATCAGGTCAGATGTTCATACTACTTACATATTTGCTTGGCACTCATTCCTTTGGGCTGTGCATTTGCTGCTGTTGTTGTTTTTGCGTTTTGCTCAATTTGAAGCGTTATTTTTTATTATAATGCGACGCGCTTTTTTATTAGGTTCTAATGTTTTATTTATATTAAATATTTATATGCACACGTAGATATGTATGTATGTATGTATGTATGTATGTATGTATGTAGATGCGCATATTTACATATAATCTGTCGGTTTGTTTCAGTATTTAATATTGAAACATTGTTTTTGCTTTCCGCTTTTTTTATTATTATTATTTTTTTGTTGCATTGCTGTGCAGTGCGCGTAGTAAAAGTATGTACCTTTGGTTGTATGTAAGTATGTATGTATGTATATACATTTGCAAATGTTATTGCAAAAGTCATGTGAATTAAGACTAAAACAACAATGCAGAGCTACATATATACATAGAATGTTAGTTGCGTGAATATATATACATACGTACATACATACGTACATTTACATATGTACATATGCAAATAATTGTTACAATTTTCAATGCAAACATAAGTATGTACATATGTACATACATTCATGCATTTACATAAGGGTGAAGTATTATTTTTAATAAGGAATTGCAATTTACTTTAAAAAATTTTATGAATGAAAAATATTGTTGTTTTTTTTTTTTTTTTTGAATAAAATATAAACTTGATCCATAAGATCAAATTACATTAAATGTAATAAAAATATGTACATAGAAATAGAATAATATAATAAAAAAATAAAAAAAATTAATATAAATTTAAATTAAATAAAATTTAAATAAAATAATGCGAAGTTAAGCAAAATAAAATATAATAAAGTATGCTGTTTGTCCTTGTAAGAAACCGTTAGTGATTAAAATGCTCCAGTAATTACTATTTAAATTTTAACCTGTAAATTAGTTTCGATTCCACTAACATTTTTCCTATACGCACATACACAAATACAAGACTTTGCCATGTTTGCCCACTGACCCCAACCCAACCCACACTCATAACGCATCACGTGCTGTCTGCTCATTAAGTCAATAGACATCTCATCAATACTGAGCGGAAAGCCAACCTCTTTAGATTAGCTGCAAAACATTGATAGCGAAAGTGATCGCAAAAAAAAACAACAAATTGGCAGGCGAAGAAAAATATAATAAAAATAACATAAAATCCGAAAACCTCATTGAAGAAGGTCGGTTAATAAATTATTTAATTATTTTGAATGTAAATTAGTATGTAGTGCATAAATTAAATAAAAAGTAGAATTACAATAAGTAAAATATTTGACAAAATAAAATCAAAATTAAAATAAATTAATAAAGATTGATGTGAATTAAACCAGCCACCCCCCCCCCCAAAAAAAAAAATTAATTAATTTAAAATCAAATAAAATGAAGCAAAATAAATGAAAATTAAGCAAAGTACGTAAAATTAAGTAAATATGAAATAAAGTACAATAAAACACAAAATAAGGAATAAAATAGAATCGAATAAAATAATAAAAAAAAAATTAAAATTAAATTAAATTATATTAAAAATTAAATTATATTAAAAAAAATAATATTTTAAAATAATAAAATTAACTAAACAAATAAATAGAATTTTAATTAAATTCAATTAATTAAAATCAAAGAAAAAATAAATTAAATTAATTGGCAGTAAAATAAAATAACATAAAATAAATATTATAATTAAATAATAAAGAAAAATAATAATGAATTAAAAAATTATAATTAAAATAATAAAAATAACAAATAATAAAAAAGTGAATTAAAATGAAATACGAAAAACAAAAAACTGAAAAACAATTGCTTCAAGTTCCTAAAGGAGCGAAATAGTGAAGGAAAATATTTTTCCGCACAAAATTAAAGTTTCCACATTTGTTTTTATATACTTATGTATGTATGTATGAATATATGCATCATGCATTTTGCAATGTTCAAAAGCTCACCATAATCTATGTATTTCTTTTATTCCTCTTTGCTCCGGAAATCCCTTTTACAGTATCCCTCACGTCGTTTCACTTTTTCGATCCTCTCGAAACTACTGTATCCGTTTATGTATATTTTTTTTTTTTTTTGCTTTTGTTGGTTTGTATACAAAATTTCGCTACCGTTTCTAAACACATACGCCACCACCGCACCACACGCTATTTATTTTTTTTTTTATTTTGCCTTTATTTATTTCTTATTTTGTTTAATTATATTATATTTAGTTTTTGGTAAAAATTTACCGACGATCCCACCCAACATTACGTCTACGACTACCAACCAACACTACGATCATCGCGTTCGCTAAACTCGTCAAATACCGCTACAACCAACGAAACGGTTTGCCGTAGTTGCTACTGCTTCTTCTTCTGCTTCTTGCTCCTCCTCAGCACCTACCGCCTGCCGTTTGCCGTCTGCCGTCTGCCGTCAGCCACTGTCTTTGCCGTCTTGACTTTACGTAGTTTTTGTTTCATTCATTCGCTTGTTTGTTTCGTGCTCTGCTTTTTAGAATATAATTTTCAAATTTTTGTTTTTATTCTGCACTTCCTTATGCTCATTGTTGTTGCCATTGCTGTTGCTGTAGTTTATTTTTGTTTTTATGCCGCTACTACGATTGTTATTAGAGCTCTCATATCTACACTCATATCTACATATCGACGATGGACCGACCGATGAACAGCAGTTTGCTTTGCTTTTGTGGTTGCTACGTAGCTACGTAGCTACTTGCTAACGGTAGTCGGTCGCTTGGTCGCTTGGTCGGCCGCATGATGTTTTTCGTGCACATCTTTGATGTTGTCGTTGTTATTTGTTGCTGTTCTTGCTGTTGTTCTTGTTGGCGTTTCGAAAAGCGTATCCCAAAAATAACCCCCTGCTTGCATTCGTGTAGTTTTCGTTCAAGTTTCGGCTTTGATTATTTCGCATTTTCCTGAGATTCGTGTAAAATGTATTTTGAATTTTAACACCGCTAACGCGAATAACACCGCTACGCTACTTTATTTACCGAAGACAAAAATAGTCGTACATCTAATTACGTTTCGTTTCTCACATTCGAAAACAATAATGTCGAAAATTTTTCAACATCTTTTGTAGAATGCTTTTCTATGCTATGGGCTCTCTCTCTCTCTCTCTCTCTCTCTCTTCGTCTGTTTATGTTTGCCTTTCATTCTACCTTTGAGAGAAAGCTGTTGCATACGAATTCCATCGGAACGTAGATTTTCGTTGTGTAGATGCACTGGTTGGTAGCTTTGGCTGTCTTTGAGATAGGAAATGCTTGTGGCTCTTAAATTTTCGCTCCTCTGTTGTAATGTTAAATAGGTCAATGAAATTTTTACATGAAACTGCCGAATATGGCTTGTATAATATGTATGTTGATAGCTTCAGTGGGTCTCTTTTTCTTCTTTATTGGCGTAGACATCTCTTACGTGCTTTGCTAACAAAAATGCGTCAATCGTTCTTCTCCTATCGGCTCGGAACCATTGGATATCCCCAACAAACCTACACCTCATCCTTCTAACGATTGTTTTCCGTATCTCGCATAGCTCATTGTTCCATCGTCTGCTGCACTCATCGGATATTTTCATCATCTATGCGGGTCACTTCATTTCCCCTATTAGAAGACACAAAACGAATCCATATTCTTCTCCAGCTGATATTCACAACAGACGACATAATCTGGTCAGCTAAGCTGGTATTTCTCAATTTGTTGAACTATGACATTCTATTAGCGGCCGCCCCTCGACAGGGAATGTCAACTCCGCCGAGTGTATTTCTCACATGAAATAAAGCTCCTCGTAAAAAATTTTCCGCCATTCGGAGGCGGCTCAGTGTAAACGGTAGGCTGCTCCATTTGTTAGAAAACCATCAAGACACAAAACCACTAATTTCAGAGGGAGCTCGGCGGAGAATTGCTTCAGCGGTTACAAAGCGTCAATAAAATAGAACTAAAACTCAGTTCAGGCATGATGACTTAGAGGTGGCTCTTTTTCGTGCAAACGAAGCTTCGAAATCGACGAAGAGTTGGATCCTTTCAAGAATTTGGCTTATAGTACATACCTGGTCCAGGTTGAGTATTCCACTTCAGAAGGCCCGCTTAGTTCGTTTCACATATGTACATATGTAGCTTTATATCCTCGACCTTACAGACGGGAGACAACTTGTTCCATGATATTTGACGCAGACCTTAAGATTATCACAGTGGGTGGTGTGTACATTGACCGGAGCATACTCAGGTTTTCGCTACCATATTTTAATAGCTCAAACGATAAGCCTACTTTTCATATGAGTCATTTCCGTGCAAACTTCACTATAATCAGAGAGTGGAAAGTCTATATCGTCAACATCGGATATTACGACAGGTTGGAGAGAGCCCTACCAATCAAAAGAGAGTTTCAATGCGATTCAATTTGTGAGTACAATCTGAGATATTATCGGAAAGGGACTTTCGGTCAATCAGAATATGGAGTTTGTGGTTTTTGGGGCCTTGCATCATTTTTCCTTCGACGGATTGAAAGAACTCTCGGAAAGTCTGGCTACAAAACCTAGCGAAAAAACGAGTTTGGGCAAACTTTTATAGAACTCTTCTACATATAATCGTAAAAGTACTATATATGTATGTATTTGTATGTACATATGTATGTAAAATTTCATGAATATTCTCTCACTCCTTTGATCGTAAAGCCGCTCTCCGTTATTCATATCCATCGTGAGTTATTTTAGCAACAGATTTTCCATTGTGAATTCAAAGTATGTGCGTATGTATGTATATGTATGTATGTAGGAGAACTTTCGCTTTCTCTCTTATTTACGTTTGCTCTTTTGAAACGGAAATGTATGTATGTCTATACTCGTACATACATACATATGTGCATATAAAATTTAGTAGCTAGTATAATGAGCACGATTTGTTTATACTCGTATTTTGAAATTCACATAGTATGATACAATGAGTGCTAACTAAATATGTGTGTGAACATACTTACATATATATGTATGTACGTATTTCTAATATAAAAACTAACCAGAGGAATGAATTGGAAGTAGAGTTTTTACGATGTAAATATGTAAAGGCGTACGATTTTTTAAATATATGCATGTACATATGTACATACATATATGTATATGTTTGTACTTACATATGTATGTACGTCATAAGGTCTTTTGCACCCTTTAAGAAAATCGTTTATTATTTTATAAGTACATGTGTATGTATGTATGTATGTCTACCATGTCTGTATGTATTTCATTAGACTACTTTCATTGGAAATATTCTGTTTTTGAATATTCATTAAAATTATTTTTATTTATTTTTTACTATGGAATCAACAACGGTGCTCTTTTTGGATCGTAGAATTATTCATACGTATTTACATATGTATGTCTATATGTACATATGTCTGTCTGTATGTATATACATGTCGTTAAATCAAAGTGTATGAATTCTACATACATATATACATAAGTAGGTATGTATTGTACATAAGTACATAAGCACAGTAGAAGACGCTCATGAACGATAGACACTATTTTAGAAAATTTATGGAGAAGAGAAATTGCTTCACCTTTTTCGCGGTAACTCAGGAAAATTTACAAACAACTAAGTATCTAAATGAAAGAGTCTTTATATTTTGGAAACAAAAAATAGTTCCAAAAAAATATATATATATTTATTTCAAACGATTTTTCAATCAGAAACGCATCGACTCCTAAACGTTGATAAAAACATACAAATTTATATATGTATGTACATACATATGTATGTATGAATATTGAAACATATGTACGTCCAAGATTCTATGATTTATTACACTTTACGTTAACGTAATTTTGGTTCATTTTCTTTACAGCATAGCTTCTACTTTGTATGTATGTATGTATGTATTTATGTATGTATTTACATAAGCATATGTATGCCTACTTTGTTTAGAGGATGTAAAAGATATTTGAAAATATAGTTCTCTTACTTACTCGCTTATATGTATGTACATATGTATGTATGTATTTGTATTTGTATTTGTTTTCAGACTTGACAGGAATGGGGACAAGTAATAAAATGTTGACTAAAAATAGGCATTACAAGGTGCGATTACATGCATAACTGTGCTCATAATGTATACGCATACATGCATATAAACATGAATATATAAATATGTACATCCATAACTACATACATACATACCTGCAAATATCCCTCCATATGTGTAACCATACGCACTTACATACATACATATGTAGATGGAAATTTATCAGAGTATAGGTATATGTATGTATGTAAACGCTATATTTTGTATTTGAATAAATATATAGGTATGTATATATGTACTAGCTGTAATTTTTTTCACCTAACCTGTAAAAAAACAACACGTTGGTCATCGAATTACTACATGGAATACGAAAATTTCATCGATACATATGTACATACATATATCATTTTGTGCTAAATCCACTTATAATGAAAATATTTCCACCACGTCTAATCTGCCCTAATTTAACATTAATGTATGCTCAATGTAAGCTGAATTTGGCAAGCGTTTTGAAATTTTTAGCTCAAATTTAGTAAAAAAGAAAGCTCGTTTCTAGCGAAATCGAGATGAAATTGCTTAAAACCCGCGTATAAAACAATGATAATTATTTATTGTGAGTGAATAATGAGGAAGAAGAAGAATAGACGAAAGAAATTTTTTATATGGTCAATTGAAACAATTTCAAAATACGAGAAAAGGATATTGTGTGAACAAACCGGAGGAATGACCAGACCGAAGGCATATCTACATAGGTTCGTTGCGAAATACATATATAGTCTGAAGGCGTAATGACGCTATGTGGGCTGAGAGAATATAGTCCACTTTCCCCTGTCGTTAAATTTAACTTTGTAAATATTGTCCTTGGGACGTTTCGCCATTTATTATTACTTTATTACTTATTAATAACGCAACGCACAAAAATCTCTTTTTCATCGATTCTACCAATTTATTCAAATGTCCAATAACCAGGCTACTAATTACAGCCTTAAGCTCATCTGCGTTCTCGTATTGTCAATTTTTTGTATACGGCGCTGCTCAAAAATATTCCCCATACGTTGTCTAGAGGATTCAAGTCAAGAGCGCAGATCGGTCAGTCCATAGTTTTTCTGTTGCAATCAGCCATAAAATGTCACGTTTAGTTGTTTCCATGTCCCGTTCGAATATTAGTGTCACCTTTTTTTGAACCTCAACTAAAGAAAGGAAGTAGGAAGTTGTTTTCCAACACTTGAATGTAGTCTCCGCTGTTCATTTGAGACGGTGTGAACTGTAATTCGAGCGTAGCTTTTAATGTAAAAGTATTGCAAACCATGTCAGAGTCTCCACCGAAATTGTGTCTAGACAAAGAAAGAGAACTCATCGCAAAAGGCACAAGACCTGGTAGAATTCAAGCTTGAATGCTGATAATTTTTTGTTGATCACGTTGGGTAAGTGCCGATTTTCCTCCCAGCTTGCAAACGTTCTAACGCCTTGTGCTCTGTAAGATAGTTCGCACGGACGGACGGACGGACGGCTTGCTTGTGCTCTGTAAGATAGTTCGCACTACGCACTGATTTCTTGCATTTTTGTTG